CGAGTTTTCTTTTAGCTGGGTGTCAAAATCTTGATCATCATAGAATAATTTTGTCGACTGTCATCTTTAATAAATTATTGATGTATTATTTTTATATAAACTGAACTCTCATTTTTCATAATTAGGAGAAAAGTGCATTTCCGCATCTAGTGGAGTTTGAACATTGCACACAGTAGCTTCCGTAACATGGTAGTTGTAAATATTTCCAACTTTGGTTAAGGAGGTATATATGTTATTTGCAGGCTGGGAGGTCTGTATGGGGGGGGCTTAAGGGGGGTACGAACACTGCAAAACCGCACAGAATAACATGGAAAACCGCAAACTGCATTGAAATTACCCAAAAATTTCTAAATACCACAAACCGCTTGGTTTAGCAACTTAAAATAAAAACTTCCACAAAACCACACCAAAAATTGAGCAAAACCGCATCACTGCAAACCCTTATGCCCCCCTTGTATAGGGAAAAACCTGTACCCGAAATCTTGAAAATGCTAAAAACGGCAGGCTGACAGCAGCTTTTACAAGACCTCAGTCACAGTTTTTTGATGTACCGACCAACCCATTAATTTTTTTTTTATTATTTTTTTCACCTCTCTCTCTCTCTCTCTGAAATCACTTTGTAATAATTGTTGACTTGCTTAGCGCTTGATAGCGAATGCAGTAAGCGCATTTCAAAGTGAATGTTTCAAAGAGAAATATTTTTATTTGACTGTGTTTCCAAGCCACTTGTCTAATAAAAATCTGTTTTGAAACTAACTTTTGTACATAAACGGATCAATGTAAAAAGATGGAAATTCAAGGTCAAGGACAAAAACTGTCAGAGTGTTCCCGTGCCCTTGGAAAAGATAAAATCTGGACCGCGCAAAGAAGCAATGAGATTGCAAGATTCGATATCGTGTCCTCTTAAAAAAATAAACAAGAATATTCTTTGTCAGTATTTTTATTTATTCAAGGAATACTTAATAATGCTCACAACAAGTATTATTGTTATTATTATTATTATTATTATTATTATTATTATTACAACTGGGTTGGTTATATTTGAATGCAAGATAAATTCAGATTTTGCATCATCAACTGCAATACCTGGAGATGGCTGGTAATTTACATGTACTTGTCATGTCTTTATGTTTAGGTTCACGGTGATGTTGGGAGTCGGTAGTGATCTGGTTGAACCACAGTTGGCAACTGGTCAGCACTTAAATGGTGAACTTCTAAGTAAAAAATTTTGTCCAAAGACCATCTGGCTTGTGCCAAAAGAAAAATTGAGTTTTGATGATCAAAAAGAAGAGGTAAAAATATCCCATTTGTAATGTACATGTATGTATTTCTTAATTTGACAGACTCACCACCAACAAGGAGTTCTCAAGTCGAATGTAAACGTGGTTGGGTTTCAAAAACCAAAAATAACTTTAATGGAAGGGACTAGTTGATGAGTAAAATTGTGTGGTGTTAGACAGAGTAAAATCTGTCAAGTCTCACTCCCAGGAGTCAATGGATTAAGGACTACTAATATACTTTGTAGTGAAATTTAAGTTGAAAGTGTATGGACCACAACAAGTAGTTTAACTTCTCAAAATGCTTTTTGGAGCTGGAAGGTATTTTTGTAGTAGTGAAACATGTCTCCCTGTGTGATACCTTCATGCTTCATGACAGTGACACTGTTTGTGAATTATTGGCCATAACAAGTACACTTGATGACTAAATAGATGAAATCAAAGTGTGTTCTGATGTAATGCCAGAGTGCTAGTATCAATACTACTCATACAAATATTTTTTCTTATATTTTTAGCATGTTCAGGATAACTTGTCAGCCCTTCTGGATGAACCCATCTATATATCCTCAACAATGCAAGCAGAAAATACTTGTAGATTGGAATCTACCACTGGACCCTGTGTTGAAACCCAACCTTCTTGTGATTCACAAATTAACTCTGTGCCTTGTGAACTGGATGTCCATCCTACTTGTAACTCACAAACTACCTCTGCTCATAGGGTAATGGTAGACCAGCCTGCTTTTGAATCAGGTAACCCCCAAAAATAACAGCTAGTAAACTTAATTGTTAACGCAAGTTAACTTATTTGTTTAGTCTCAGTGCTCAGTTTGAAAGCATCGTTCTCATTTATTGCTGACAATGCTGATATGTAGAGTACTACTTGCAGAGTA